ACAGTTTCTTGAGCCTACTGGGCTCTATCATATGATAATTCATTGTGTCGTGGGACAGGAAGCCAGAGTGTATTTATGCACGTTAGGCTTATATCGAAGTTCCCCCCCCCAAATCACTGACCTCGCCCAACATGCTGCCTAACTCCTGAGTACTGCTAGGTGAACAGCTGCATTAGATGAAAGGAAGGGTGCCCAACCATTTCTGTCCCGGCCGGGGTTCGAACCCGGTAATCTCGATTGTGCGTCGAAAACGAAGCCTACTGAACTACCGGGACCCCTCATATTTGGAACTGAGTGGGAGGAAGTGTTGGAGGGAGTGTGTTGGAGGAAGTGTTGGAGGAAGTGTTGGAGGGAGTGTGTTGGAGGAAGTGTGGGAGGGAGTGTGTACTCACCTACTTGCGGGGGTTGAGCTCTGGCTCTTTGGTCCCGCCTCTCAACTGTCAATCAACTGGTGTACAGGTTCCTGAGCCTACTGGGCTCTATCATATCTACACTTGAAACTGTGTATGGAGTCAGCCTCCACCACATCACTGCCTAATGCATTCCATTTACTAACTACTCTGACACTGTTTCCACCTGTGTCCCCTTGTTCGTGTCCCACCTGTGCTGAAGAGTTTGTCTTTGTTCACCCTGTCAATTTCTCTAAGAATTTTGTAGGTGGTTATCATGTCTTTCCTTACTCTTTTGTCGTCCAGGGACGTGAGGTTTAGCTCCCTTAGCCTTTCCTCGTAGCTCATACCCCTCAGTTCTGGGACTAGTCTGGTGGCATACCCCTTTCTCCGTTTGATGTGGGCTTCTGGGGACAGGTTCGGTGTGATATCAATCCCCACTCTTGCAGGATTTCACCTCCCAGATGGTACCTTGTGTTCAGTCTTTTGCTCCCTTCGCCTAATTTCATTACTTTACACTTTCCTGAGTTGAACTTTAGTAGCCATTTTCTAGACCATTCATCCAGTTTGTCCAGGTCGTCCTGTAACCTGGGAGGAAGTGTGGGAGGGAGTGTGTGGGAGGTGTTGGAGGCAGTGTGTGGGAGGTGGTGTTGGAGGGAGTGTGTGGGAGGTGTTGGAGGGAGTGTGTGGGAGGTGGTGTTGGAGGGAATGTGTGGGAGGAAGTGTTGGAGGGAGTGTGTGGGAAGTGTTGGAGGGAGTGTGTGAGAGGGAGTGTGTGGGAGGTGTTGGAGGAAGTGTGTGGGAGGAAGTGTTGGAGGGAGTGTGTGGGAGGTGTTGGAGGGAGTGTGTGGGAAGTGTTGGAGGAAGTGTGTGGGAGGAAGTGTTGGAGGGAGTGTGTGGGAAGTGTTGGAGGGAGTGTGTGAGAGGTGTTGGAGGGAGTGTGTGGGAGGAAGTGTTGGAGGGAGTGTGTGGGAGGTGTTGGAGGGAGTGTGTGGGAAGTGTTGGAGGGAGTGTGTGAGAGGGAGTGTGTGGGAGGTGTTGGAGGAAGTGTGTGCATGGGAAGTGTTGGAGGGAGTGTGTGAGAGGTGTTGGAGGGAGTGTGTGGGAAGTGTTGGAGGGAGTGTGTGGGAGGTGTCGGAGGGAGTGTGTGCATGGGAAGTGTTGGAGGGAGTGTGTGAGAGGGAGTGTTGGAGGGAGTGTGTAGGAAGTGTTGGAGGGAGTGTGGGAGGTGTTGGAGGGAGAGTGTAGGAAGTGTTGGAGGGAGTGTGGGAGGTGTTGGAGGGAGTGTGTGGGAGGTGTTGGAGGGAGTGTGTGGGAGGTGTTGGAGAGAGTGTGTGGGAGGTGTTGGAGGGAGTGTGTGGGAGGTGTTGGAGGGAGTGTGTGGGAGGTGTTGGAGGGAGTGTGTGGGAGGTGTTGGAGGGAGTGTGTGGGAGGTGTTGGAGAGAGTGTGTGGGAGGTGTTGGAGGGAGAGTGTGGGAGGTGTTGGAGGGAGAGTGTGGGAGGTGTTGGAGGGAGAGTGTAGGAAGTGTTGGAGGGAGTGTGGGAGGTGTTGGAGGGAGTGTGTGGGAGGTGTTGGAGGGAGTGTGTGGGAGGTGTTGGAGAGAGTGTGTGGGAGGTGTTGGAGGGAGAGTGTGGGAGGTGTTGGAGGGAGAGTGTGGGAGGTGTTGGAGGGAGTGTGTGGGAGGTGTTGGAGAGAGTGTGGGAGGTGTTGGAGGGAGTGTGTGGGAGGTGTTGGAGGGAGAGTGTGGGAGGTGTTGGAGGGAGTGTGTGTGAGGTGTTGGAGGGAGTGTGTGGGAGGTGTTGGGGGAGTGTGTGGGAGGTGTTGGAGGGAGTGTGTGGGAGGAAGTGTTGGAGGGAGTGTGTGGGAGGAAGTGTTGGAGGGAGTGTGTGGGAGGAAGTGTTGGAGGAGTGTGTGGGAGGTGTTGGAGGGAGTGTGTGGGAGGAAGTGTTGGAGGGAGTGTGTGGGAGGTGTTGGAGGGAGTGTGTGGGAGGAAGTGTTGGAGGGAGTGTGTGGGAGGAAGTGTTGGAGGGAGTGTGTGGGAGGTGTTGGAGGGAGTGTGTGGGAGGAAGTGTTGGAGGAGTGTGTGGGAGGTGTTGGAGGGAGTGTGTGGGAGGTGTTGGAGGGAGAGTGTGGGAGGTGTTGGAGAGAGTGTGGGAGGTGTTGGAGGGAGAGTGTGGGAGGTGTTGGAGGGAGTGTGTGGGAGGTGTTGGAGGGAGAGTGTGGGAGGTGTTGGAGAGAGTGTGGGAGGTGTTGGAGGGAGAGTGTGGGAGGTGTTGGAGGGAGTGTGTGGGAGGTGTTGGAGGGAGTGTGTGGGAGGTGTTGGAGGGAATGTGTGGGAGGTGTTGGAGGGAGTGTGTGGGAGGTGTTGGAGGGAGTGTGGGAGGTGTTGGAGGGAGTGTGTGGGAGGTGTTGGAGGGAGTGTGTGTGTGTGTACTCACCTAGTTGTGCTTGCGGGGGTTGAGCTCTGGCTCTTTGGTCCCGCCTCTCAACTGTCAATCAACTGGTGTACAGGTTCCTGAGCCTACTGGGCTCTATCATATCTACACTTGAAACTGTGTATGGAGTCAGCCTCCACCACATCACTGCCTAATGCATTCCATTTATTAACTACTCTGACACTGAAAAAATTCTTTCTAATGTCTCTGTGGCTCATCTGGGTACTCAGTTTCCACCTGTGTCCCCTTGTTCGCGTATCCCCCCCCCGTATTAAACAGTTTATCTTTATCTACCCTGTCAATTCCTCTGAGAATTTTGTAGGTAGTGATCATGTCTCCCCTTACTCTAGACGGAGGGAGAAGTGTGAGAGGGAGTGTTGGATTGTGGGAGACACGCAGTGTGGGTGGGAGTGTGTGGGAGTGAAAGAATGACTGTGGTAGGAAGAGAAGGAGGGAGGGAGTGTGGTAGGAAGCGAAGGAGGCAGTGTGGAAGAAGGGGAGGGAGGGCGGGTGCGGGTGGAGGGAGGAACGGATGAACAGGGAGGGGGCATGGATGAAGCACACAAGAAAGGGACTGATGGAGTGAGGTAGAAAAAGGAGAGAAGAGGGTGGGAAGAGAGAGGGAGGAAAGGAAATAGAATGTCGGAGAGAAGGAGGGAGGGAGGGAGGGAGGGAGGGAGGGTGGATGGTTCAGAGGAATATTGGATGGAGGGAGGAGGAGGAGGGGATTGAGGGAGGGAGGGAGGGAGAGGCGGATGGAGAGGCGAGTGTGGGAGGGCTGGTGGAGAAGGGGGACCTATGGGGGTGGAGGGAGACTAGGGCCGTCCCTAGATATCACCAAACAACCATCGGCTAATTAACTGCCTAACCAGGCTGTTACACCTGTAACAAGCACCTCACCCATACACCGCAGTCGCTCCCTCACTAAATATCCTCCCAAAGATCAAATAAATAAAGGAAAACGCCCATTAGAAAGAGGGAGAGAGTCTCCCTCAGTAGGGCCGTTCCGAGATACCGAGTCTCTCTCCCCCCCCCCCCTCGTAACTCACCCCCCCCGCCCCCCCTTAATGCTGTAAATGCCATGCCGTGCCTGATCTACCGTTTGTTTGTTCGCGCACATTCGCTCGCGCACTGCTTCGCGCTCGCGCTCTCGACCCCTGTCTCCCATGTCGCGGTATCCTCACTAAGACGTTCAAGAAAACTTGAGGTTCAAGTTTGGTCAAAAATAATCGGCCAGGTGAGAATGGGAGAAAATTATTGCGAACTGAAAACGGCAGAATAATCTGAAACTTTCCTAGATCCATAGTAACGTTTCTCCACCCCCCCCCCATCTTCCCCCCCTCCCCCCCGAGGCATATTCCGCCCCCATTCCCTTTCCGCATCTGCTATAGCGGTCACCCCGCTCCAGAGACCACCCCCCTAACTCACTGACCGCGGCAGAGTTTAATGCCCTCGCGAGCACTAGAGGTCAAACTTAGAAACTGAACTTCCGGATAATCTGAACCGTGATTCGCGCGCGTTTCTTCACCCGTGACTCATTACCACCCGACAAATCTGTAACAAAAAGAGAAAAAAAAAGAGAGAGAGAGAAACAAGAGCGCGGATTTCGCAAGGGCGCGAGGCGCGGGAAAAGCGCCCTTATGATCCACATGGATTATTTCTCAACTATCGGTCCCACTATTCCGGAACGGCCCTAGAATGAAAGCGAACAAAAATTTTATTTAGCCCTTCTACGGGGCGGCGGGTGTGACGTCACGCCGGCCCCGCCCCCGAGGCCGCGTCCGGCTCCCCTATTGGCTGTCACGCCACTCACACCGCTCCAGTTTTTAAGGGGGCTCGAGAATTGGGCGCGCTGCTACAATCTGCTAGTTTTGCGTTTATTTGCCTATAATTCTACCTTTTAATTTCAATTTAAAAATTCAAAGTGGGTTGATTTGTACTGTGCGTGTAATGCTAAAGCAGATGATTGTATTGAATTTCATATTTAAGAAAATAATTCATTAAATTTTGTATATATTTTATTTCTCTATAGTGCATTTTATTTGTCACCGCATGTTAAATAGCATGCTACAATTAAAATTGAATTAGCTTAACGATGAAACTATCGTGATGGGGATAAAAACGGCCAATTCTGGGCCCCTTTAACATGATGGCGTCCCGTTTTCTACTCGGCAGGAATTTTGATGAGCCCGGGCGCGAGGCTAGACTGTTGCCGCTCAGCCTCAGTTCATCCTTGTGTGTGTACAGTTTGTGACGGACCACCATGAGGCCACTCACCCAATAATATGTGAATTACACAGTGTTACCTTGTAAGGATTTACCTCCCCGGGGATCTTTTTTAATGCAGCTTGTGCAAGAAAACCCTGCAACAATGGCGGAAGAAAGCAATACAGGTAGGCTTTTGAGCCGCTCATATGGCAGGCTCTTTTATTGTTTACATCCCACCCCTCCCCCCCACCCCCACCCCTCACCTCATACCACGTGTTGGGGCTGTTTTGTGGAGGGTAGGGGCGAGGGGCAGCCTGCAGGAGGCGCTGACGGGGCACGATGACCACGCGCCAACACCAATAAGCCCGTCGATCAGTTTTTTTTTTTTCAAAAGTGTGTGTGAGGGCTGCCAACATGACCCCGGAGCAGCAGCAGCAGCAGGGGGGATTGACCGGTACTTGTCCTCCTGCACACACACACACTACCTCACCCTCGACCACACGCCCTCACACTCTGGGGGACGCCAGGGTGGAGGGCGAGGCTGGAGGACGAGGGTGATAAGACTGGAGGATGAGGGTGGAGGGGTTATGAGTGGTGGCGGGGTTGGCACTCCTGCCTCCATGCGATCAGCTGAGGCCTCACCGACATGACATACTGTCATTCATGCTTCTCTCTCACTCCTCTCTCACTCTCCTCTCTCTCTCTCTCCTCTCCTCACTCTCACCTGTGGTGTGCCCGGGGCAGGTGGCATGGCCGGGTGGTACACGCCCCTGAGTAGTGTGGCGGGGCACTCGTGCCCCTCACAGCTGGTCCCGGCGCCTCACATGCTCCCGGGCCGACCCTCACCCCTCTTACTTGAATTATGGTCTGGTTAATCAACACTTAATATAAAAAGTAACCAAGGGCTGGTGGCTGAGTGGACAGCGCTCTAGACTCGTGGAGCTAGGCACCGGGGTTCGATCCCCACAGCCGGCGGAAACAGATGGGCAGTTTCCTTCACCCTGATGCACCTATTACCTAGCGGTAAATAGATACCAGGGAGATAGACAGCTGCTACGGGCTGCTTCCTTGGTGGGGGGGGGGGGGTGTAGTTTATCTAGTTGTGTTTGCGGGGGTTGAGCTCTGGCTCCTTGGTCCCGCCTCTCAACTGTCAATCAACTGGTGTACAGGTTCCTGAGCCTATTGGGCTCTATCATATCTACACTTGAAAATGTGTATGGAGTCAGCCTCCACCACATCACTTCCTAATGCATTCCATTTGTCTACTACTCCTGACACACAGAAAAAATTCTTTCTAATGTCTCTGTGGCTCATTTGTGTGTGTACTCACCTAGTTGTACTCACCTAGTTGTGCTTGCGGGGGTTGAGCTCTGGCTCTTTGGTCCCGCCTCTCAACTGTCAATCAACAGGTGTACAGGTTCCTGAGCCTATTGGGCTCTATCATATCTACACTTGAAACTGTGTATGGAGTCAGCCTCCACCACATCACTTCCCAATGCATTCCATTTGTCAACCACTCTGACACTAAAAAAGTTCTTTCTAATATCTCTGTGGCTCATTTGGGCACTCAGTTTCCACCTGTGTCCCCAAGTGCGTGTGCCCCTTGTGTTAAACAGCCTGTCTTTATCAACCCTGTCGATTCCCTTGAGGATCTTGAATGTGGTGATCATGTCCCCCCTAACTTCTGTCTTCCAATGAAGTGAGGTTTAATTCCCGTAGTCTCTCCTCGTAGCTCATACCTCTCAGCTCGAGTACAAGTCTGGTGGCAAACCTTTGAACCTTTTCCATTTTAGTCTTATGCTTGACTAGATATGGACTCCATGCTAGTGCCGCATACTCCAGGATTGGTCTGACATATGTGGTATATAACGTTCTGAAAGATTCCTTGCACAAGTTTCTAAAGGCCGTTCTTATGTTAGCCAACCTGGCATATGCTGCTGCTGTTATCCTCTTGATATGAGCTTCAGGGGACAGGTCTGGCGTGATATCAACCCCCAGGTCTTTCTCTCTCTCGGACTCTTGAAGTATTTCATCTCCCAAGTGATACCTTGTATCTGGTCTCCTGCTTCCTACTCCTATCTTCATTACATTACATTTGCTTGGATTAAACTCTAACAGCCATTTGTTTGACCATTCCTGCAGCTTGTCCAGATCTTCTTGAAGCCTCAAGCTGTCCTCCTCTGTCTTAATCCTTCTCATAATTTTGGCGTCGTCAGCAAACATTGAGAGGAATGAGTCTATACCCTCTGGGAGATCATTTACGTATATCAGAAACAGGATAGGTCCAAGTACAGAGCCCTGTGGGACTCCACTGGTGACTTAACGCCAGTCTGAGGTCTCACCCCTCACTGTAACTCTCTGCTTCCTATTGTTTAGGTACTCCCTTATCCACTGGAGCACCCTACCAGTTACTCGTGCCTGTTTCTCCAGCTTATGCATCAACCTTTTATGGGGTACTGTGTCAAAGGCTTTCCGACAGTCCAAAAAAATGCAGTCCGCCCACCCTTCTCTTTCTTGTTTAATCTTTGTCACCTGATCGTAGAATTCTATCAATCCTGTAAGGCAAGATTTACCCTCCCTGAACCCATGTTGATTGGTTGTCACGAAGTCTCTTCGTAACAACTTCGAAGTGTGTGTGTGTGCGCTCACCTAATTGTGCTTGTGGGGGTTGAGCTCTGGCTCTTTCGTAATATTATATAGTGTGTGGGTGGGTGGGTGTGTGAAAAAAAATTAGATGGCAGTTAGTAAAAGTTGATTGATTGACAGTTGAGAGGTGGGCCAAAAGCAGAGCTCAACCCCTGCAAGCACAACTAAGTGAATACATAAAAATTATCATCATGGGGGTGGGGGTTGCCTTCAATTTTGATTTGGCAGAGTTCTTGTAACTTTTTGTCTCGATACTCGAGATATGAATGCAACGGAAATGAAATGTGGTTAATATTGCACTGCAGCTGTAATAGAACCCCTTGTACAGTATGTTTTGAATACGTTGACGATTATTGCTCGTTAGTTCTTGATAAACTAATGCAATTGTTGATCTCTTCATGCGTAATTTCCTTGCTATAGAAGCTAATTATCAACTAATCTATGGTAAAATACACTACACTTTCATTTAATTAGTACTATACTTGAGAGAGACTGGGTCACTTCACGGCATAAATGATATATTTGGACAGTTTTCCTGCCTAAATTGACACATGAAACATGTTTAATATGCATGAAGCATTGTCTAGTTTATGCAAGACTGGTTGTCCAATTCAAAACTTGAAATAAGTTGAATATTTATGTAGTAAGTTGGATGGTCAAAACAGGCCAATGACCTCAGTCTCTTTTAGAATGTTTTATTTTCACTGGTGTTTAATATATGAAGAATACAGATGGCTGCTAGTTTCTCCTTAAGAAATGATGCTGCCTTACATAATTACTGAAGGTTAATGAGGCTGGTTACCAAGGCTAGTAATTGAATGATAAATTGTGGTTTTACAGGTTTGATATTGCACTGTTTGGTCTAAAGGTTATGTAGCCTATGAATTTAACTCAAAATCAAAGTACAGTAGTATGAAAACATGTCTAAATTTAAATTTGTTACTGCAAATAGACCTGCCCAACCTAACCTAATGTACTCACCTAGTTGTGTATCAACCCGAATGAAAGGCGTTTGCTGAAAACGTTTAATGTAATTATATATAGTACAGGCCATTAACATAAATTCATACTACATATCCATAACTGTCATGCTTCATTAGGACAGAAATCACTTTCTATAGCAGACAATTTGCATAGTCTTTTTATCATTGCTAACCTAACCCTGGTATACACAAGGAATGTGTGGAGCTTGTGTAGTATAGTTGTGGAAAGAAAGTTATGAAATATTGTCCATGATATTAGTATTTAATTGAAATGACATGAGCAGCATGTCTGTACTGGAAGGTAATTGTCATGTGACAATTTTCAATTTTAGAATTACAGTACAGTACTGTACTACTAAACATGAACACTCTTCAACCTAACTAAACCTGTCCTAAACCAACATAATGTTGTGCATGCAGCCTGAGAAAAGTAGGCAAAACCTCTACAGTATGCAAGTACTGTAGATGCTATGTTCTTGGCACCGTAGTAAGCTAATACAGTAATGTCAGTCGGTTAACATACGCAATTTGAAAACTTAAATTGTATACTGTACTATATAAATATTATGTTGAGGTCGGCAGCATTAAATTCTCACATGCTGTTATCTTTTACAATGAAAGTAATGTTTATTACTTAGGGAGGGGTGGGGGTGGGGGGTGCGCATGTGTGCGCGCACACAGATTAATGCATCCACAGGGATGTGTAATTACCTAAAGTGTAATTACCTAAGTGTAGTTACAGGATTAGAGCTATGCTCGTGGTGTCCCATCTTCCCAACACACCTTCATATAACGCTTTGAAATTACTGATGGTTTTGGCCTTCATAACCACCTCACTTAACTTGTTCCGGCCGTCTACCACTGTTTGCGAAAGTAAATTTTCTTATTTCTTTGGCAGCCTTGTTTACTTAGTTTGAATCTATAACATCTCTATCAATTTTATCAGTTTCTGTTAGTATTTTGTGCATAGTGATCATATCGCCTCTTTTTTTTTATTTTTAAGTTTTGGCATATTTAATGCCTCTTAGCCTCTCCTCATAGCTCTTGTCTTCCAGTTCTGGCAGCCATTTAATTGCATGTCTTTGTACCTTTTCCATTTGATGTGCTTCTTTAAGATTGGGCACCATACAATCACTGCATATACCAGCTTTGGTTTAACAATAGTTGTGAACAATTTCTTTAGTATTTCACCATGTATGTACAATATTTAAAAGCAATTCTGAAGTTAGAAAGTGCAGCATAGGCTCCTTGCATGATCTTCTTTATGTGGTCCTCGGGGTGATAATTTTCTATCTAGAACCACCCCTAGATCTTTATCAGAATTCTTTAAAGATTTCTCGCATAATTTATAGGTTGTGTGGGAGCTTGTGTTCCCCTTTTCCATAACATGACATTTATTCATATTAAATTCCTTTTGCCAAGTGGTGTTCCATACACTTATTGTCCCGGTCTTCTTGAAGAACATGACAATACCTGGTTGATACCTGGTTGATGGGGTTCTGGGAGTTCTTCTACTCCCCAAGCCAAGGCTCGACTTGTGAGAGTCTGGTCCACCA